ATTTTTGAATATTCTCGGCTCTTGATTGGCACTGATATTCAAACTCTGAATTTTCCCGGCTCTTGATTGGCTTAAAAATTTAAATTTTGAAAACTTCTGTCTTTAAATTAGTTTTTAAACTCTTAAGTATTCCTGGCTCTTGATCGGGTTTAAAATCAAATTTTAAAGCCAATCAAAAGCCGGAAATATTCAAATTTTGAAGCCAATCAGCAAACATCTGTCAGTCGGTAAAGTAAATCGCTGACAACATCAATTCCAGTTGTCATTTGTCAATGTCAACAATAAATTGACAGATTAAACAATCGATGCACGTTCCGCATTAAATGTCAATATTTTTAAAGAAGAAAACTTAATTCTCTTTTCAATATCAATGATTAAAAAAGGACTGAGACAAATATCGCAATCATCAATCAAATCATACCGTATTTGATTAATTTTTGTAATCTTTGATGCAGGATTACGTTAGAAAGTCTAGCTGTCTCTTTTTAACCTAATTAATTGAAAAGAAATGAACAAAACTACACAAAACTACTAAAAAAAATTTCAGTGGAATTAAGTGGAATTCCGATGAAATTCTATTAATTTTCTTGGAGTTCCAAGTAATTTCTCCAAAATTTTAAATTTTTCTCGTAAAATTCCAAAAAAAAAATATGGTATTATTTAAAATTCCTGCGAATTTCCGAGGAATTTCTATGAAATTTCTTGCAAATACCAAAAAATTTCCTTGAAATTATATGGATTTTTAGTAAAATTCCAGAGAATTTTCATGTAATTACGAGGAATTCTGGTGTAAATTTTTCCAATACTTTTTAAAGACTTTTGATACCGTCGTTACGAATTTTACCTTATACTTTAAAATTCAGGCAAATTTTTATTAATTAATTAATATGTAATAATTATTGAAATTTGAAATAGGTAACTAAGTAATAAGCAACTAGCAACTTACTCAGATTTCAAAAATCATGTGAAATTATTTGGGATTTCAGTTGAATTACGTGGAATTTTTGAATTCTAGAAAATTCCTGTAAAAATTACATGAAATTCTCGTGAAATTTTAAATAATTCTTGTGAAATTATTTGGAAGTTCAATAAAGTTTCGGTAAAATTAGGTGGAATTTCGAGAAAAATTTCAATGAAATTCCATCTATTATTCCAGAAATTTCACGTAATTCTGTTGTTTTTTTTTGGATATACTGTCGATTTTTTCGGATTTCATTTGCGCTGAAATTCCGTTTATTTTTTAATTTTTTTCGAATTTCATTCAACTACGTCATTTCTTAAAATTTCGTGTTTTTTTCTTATTCACTTGGAATTTTGCAACATTTTTCAAAAATTACAAAAAAAAAATCCGAAATTTCATAAAATTTCACTAATTTCTTGGAATTCCGCTTTTTTCTCGGAATTCGTGCATTTTTTTTTTTTTGGAATTATGTACATGTTGTTTTTTAAGATTTTGTGTAATTTTACCGGAATTTTGTATTTTTTTTTTTATATAACCACGTCATTTTTTGCGTTTTTTTCTTTAGAATTCCGTGACATTTTTTTAAAAATTTCAAATAATTTTACTGAAATTTCATGTAATTTGGGGTTTTTCTTTGGAATTTCCTGATTGTTCTTTGAAATTACACGTCGTTTGTTTGAATTTTGTGTAATTTCACCGAAATTACACCTAATTTCACCTAAACTTTGTATTTTTATTTTTTTCAATTGATGTATATAACTACATTATTTCTAGAAATTCCATGTAAATTCACACAAATTCCATTTTTTTTGGAATTGCATGTGTGTTTCTTATGTAATTTCAATGGAATTTTATGTCATTTCACTGGAATTTTATGTAATTCATTAAAAATAATATGTCATTTTTAAAAATTCCATTGAAATTTTACGAAATTTCATTGTAGTACTATATAATTTTCTTGAATTTTGACGTTATTTTTTTGGAATTCCACGTTAACTTCCTAAAATTTTATATAATTTTCCCAGATTTCTTTATTATTCTGTGAAATTTTATGTAATTTTTAATAAAATTCCGCGTAATATTACTGGACTTCCATGTAACTCCTTAAAATTACACTAGTTTTATTTAATTTCACAAGAATTCCTCGAAATTTCACAATGTTTTACAGAAATAAAAATTTGTACACTGGAATTTTATATAATTTCATTGAAATTCAATGTAATTTTTTTCAAAATTCCACGTTGTTTCTTTAGAATTTAATGTAATTTTACTGAAATTCCACTTTATTTTTTGAAATTCCATGTAATTTCACTAAAAACTTCACGGATTCCTTAAAACTTCATGTTATTATAATGGAATTTCTTACAATTTTTTGATTTTTTTTTTCCAGAATTCTACGTTATTTTTCTAAAATTTTTCGTATTTTTTTATGGGAATTTCTCAGAATTTCAGGAACTTATTTTGAACACTATTAAATTATTCTAGAATTGGCAAGGTTGTTTTTTTAAAATTTAATGTTATTTCCGGAACGGAATTTCATGTAATTTTACTGGAATTTCACGTCAAAATTTGGAATTCCATGGAATTTCCATGAAATTAACGTGCTTTTCTTGGAACTTTGCGTAAAAGAATCACTTTTCCTTAATTTTGCTTCAATAAGTCAATTTTCCAGAATTTTTCCTGGAATGATTTTCCACTGGGAAATGTTGAAATTTTCCTATAATAAGCTCGTCACTTGCGTCTTTCTCCTGGAAAAAATTCACAATTTTTACTTTGCCAATTTTCCAAAAAAAATTGAAATGTGACAGGATGAATTTTCCTTAATTTTATTTGAAAAACTCAATATTCTAGAATTTTTCATTAGAAAATCATGAAATCTTCCTATAATGACCTCATTACTTATCTCTTTCACCTGGAAAAATTTTACAATTTTTGCTTTGCCAATTTTCTAGAAAAACAGTGAAATGTGACGGGATGAATTTCTCATAATTTTATTTGAAAAAGTCTATTTTTTAGAATTTTTCCTGGAAAGTTTTCAAAATTTTCCCTTTGCTAGTTTTCCAGAAAAAAAATAAAATGTAAGAGGATGAATTTTCCTTAATTTTGCCTAAATAAGTCAATTTTCCAGAATTTTTCCTGGAGTGATTTTTCACTGGGAAATTTTGAAATTTTGCTATAATGAACTCCTTACTTTTTTCTTTTTTCAGGAAAATTTTTACAATTTTCTTTCTGTTAGTTTTTAGAAAAAAATTAAAATCTAAAAGAATGAATTTTGTTTAAAAAAGTCAGTTTTCCAGAATTTTCCCTGGAGTGATTTTCCACTAGAAAATGTTGAATTTTTTTTTAATGAGCTTTTCACTATCTTCTTTTTCCTGGAAAATTTCGAAATTTTTTCTTTGCCAGTTTTCCAGAAAAAAATTAAAAAGTAAGAGGATAAATTTTCCTTAATTTTGTTTAAATAGGTCAATTTTCTAGAATTTTTTCTGGAGTGATTTTTCAATTGAAAATTATGAAGTAATGTTATACTGAGCTCCTCATTTTCTTCTTTCTTTTGGAAAAATTTCACAATCTTTCCTTTCCAGTTTTCCAGAAAAAAATTGAAATGTGAGAGGATGAATTTTCCTTAATTTTACTTGAAGAAGTCAATTTTCCAGAATTTTTCCATAGAGTGAATTCCCACCGGAAAATTTGGAAATTTCCCTATAATGAGCTTCTCACTTTCCTTTTTTTCCTGGAAAATTTTCAAAATTTTCCCCATGCCAGTTTTTCAGAAAAAAATTAAAATGTAAGAGGTGAATTTTCCTTAAATAGGTCAATTTTCCAGAATTTTTTTTGGAGTGATTTTTCATTGGAAAATTTAAAAATTTTACTATAATGAGCTTTTCACTTTTCTCTTTTTTCTGGAAAATTTTCGCAATTTTCTTTTTGCCAGGTTCTTAGAAAAAAATTAAAATCTAAGAGGGTGAATTTTGCCTAAAAAAGTCAATTTCCCAGAATTTTTTTTTGGAGTGATTTTCCACTGGAAAATTTTGAAATTTTCCTATAATGAGTTTCTCACTTTTCTCTTTCTTCTGGAAAAATTTCATAATTGTTCCTTGGCCAAATTTCTAGAAAAAAATTAAAATGGAAGATTTCCATTCTTCTTAATTTTGCTTAAAAAAGCTAGTTTTCCAAAAATTTTCTTGGAGTGATTTTTTCCATCTCAACTGTCAATTTGACCACGCTAATGGGGATATTTAGTGTTTCTTTTTTATTTATTTTTCTAATTCTAGAACACAAACTAAGTCTAACAGCGCTATTTTGGGGAACATTTAAGTTGTCGTTAATTTTTAATAAAAAATATAAATTCAGCAGTATTTCAAACGCCGCAGAAAACCAGCCGAATATGACGTCAGTCCCTACAACTAGCAAAAATATACTGCAAATAAGTACGTTGTCAGATTGTCGTTGTCATTGTTGATTTCCAAGATTGCCTCTAGAAACCTCGTTCTTATCCTTGTTTTTTGTTGTATATTTTGGACTACAGTTATAAAATTAATGTAATTTTTTAATTGTTAGTGGGTTTAGTTGCAGAACAACAGTTTTTTTAGTGTTGAAAAAGGATTTATGCCACGTCATGTTAGTATTAAGGAATCACGACACTCAGTTTGGCAACGTTGCACTGTCTAACTGTCAAGAGGTTATGTTGACCGTGTTAAACGAACAAGATGCAAATAACGAATCAGGAGTTTCATCATTGTCACTCTTCAGAGCTTAGACAAGGAAAGCATTATAAGATGTGCGCCAGAGCAGAGCTATTGTGAACAATTCTTATTGGTGTATATACGTCATACAATGGCGCCATTCCAGCACGTTTAAATATGTGGGATGAAAACAGCATTTTCGAAAATTATTTTAAACAAAATTAGGACATTTTAAACCCAACTGGAAGCAAGGGCATTTTTATTTTGGTTAAAACAACTAATTAAAAATAATAAAACAATGAATGAAATTTAAATATGGTGAATGTCCCCATTGTGTAAATAATTTGATTTTTCAGTGCAAAAAAACCTTCAGAGCACAAAAAAATCGACAGAAGTCAATACGGCGATACAGAATCAAGCTCAGAAGACGACGATCTCGATCCCAATCTACCAAACTTACAAAAAAAGAAGGATTTGGGAAATTTATCAAATACAAGGTGCAACAGAACTTTTAGTTTAAGAAGGGCCCGAGTAGACAATGAAATTAGTAAGCTTAAATGTCCAAATACTCCGGACATGCGCCGTAAATCGTTTCAACCGCCCTTGAAACCTGAACGAGCAATTTCCGTTGATAGAAAACCTATCAAAACTAATGAGGTAATTGAATCTATATCAGTTGAGTTTATGTATCCTATTCATAATCCGTAATCCAAAGGTAAAGGTAAATTTATCACCTCTCCCTATCAAATAACACTAAAAGATGATAAATTTTACCTTTACCTTTGAACATCGATAATAAGTTTCATAATTATTATTTTCTCAAGGTACAAAGCAGATATTTGCTGAGCCTCAACAAACGTACAACGATTCCGGTTGCTCAGAAAGAACCAAAAAATGTCGTTGCTAAACCGGTTTTGAATCCATCTGCGGCGAAAACACCCGTCAAACAAATTGCGGCGGTTTTTACGCGGGCGGAAGGCGGACGGCTAAGCATGCGCAGTCCCAAACCGGCTGTTAACCCTCATCTTGGAAACAAAAATTCGAAAAAAGACGGTAAGATTTTACATTTCAGTATAGTACAAGTACATTTTGTTTATACATATTTTTCTATTTGTTATGGTTGAAAAATGTTTTAATTTCCAATTATTGCAGGCAAAAATTCTAAACAATCCGGGGGTGGGCGGAGCAATTCGTCACTGTCCAGTCGAGAGGTGGAATTTCAGAATTGGAAAAGGCGGAAAAGTTATGATCCAATGAAAGCTGCTGCTGAAGTACGACAAATCAAATTATTAATAATTAGTATTTTGATTAAATTATTTTTCTAGGGTAAAAGAAAAGTGATTGAAAAAAAACTAGGCGGCATTACTAGTAGTAATAGAAACGGAGGAAACGCAAGTCCTGAAAGTTCGCCTTCTCATTCCGGATCTGTGCATCGTTCACAAGTAAGAATTTTCATTTCATTTTTTGTTTTGTATCTTTTTTATGAAATTTTTGAAAAAGCGACATTTTGATTATTGTAACATTTTTTCTTATCTCTCAACAGTGGTGGGCTACTCTTTAACTATTTAGAAGACTAAAAAACATTAATCTAATATAAAAAAAATACGCAATAAGGGCCTCGGTCTTGGGGCTCTTTTCAATTAAGGTAATTTTTGTTGGTTTTTCTCTTTTGTTCTGTATTGTATTGTCACTGTGGTTTTGTTTTCTATACTAAAATCAGTCATACAATTTTTCATAAGTACTAACAAATTTATTGTCTTTCATTTTTGATTATCATCCTCTGCGTTTATTTTTTAATACAGATGATTACTACTGTCCCTCTCAACATTGTGTCATATTGGTTTCAAAATCGGTTAAAAATATTGCTACGAAATCGTTAACGCCAGAAAAACGGCGTCCGCCAGGCTGTCAAGAATCGATGGCGAAAATACTAGAATCCAGCGAATTATTCTACTTTAATCTGGAAAATTAGATTATCGGGTGTATTCTAGATTTTACAGGAATAGATTTAGGGATATATAAGAAGGCCGACATTGATTTGTAAGTTTAGTTTTCAGTTCTACTGTGATACGATTTAAATAGTGATTGTAAAGAGTTTAATTGTTGAGTTTGTTAATAAAGTAATTAGTGTCAGAGTGTTTTGTTAAGTGAATAAATTATTGCTGTGTTAATTGGACTTTGATTTTTGAAATAAACGAAACGAACCCAAGATTTTTGTCAGCAGGCAACCCAAAGCCGCGACACTGGTGCCAGAAGTGGGATATAAAGGACTGCAGAGTGAAATCCAATTACGGAAGTGCGGGGACACTAGTGTAGTATAAAAACTGAACACTAAGTGAACACTGGGACAGTTAGTGCAGTGCAAATAGTGACAATCACAAAAAGAGACTCAACCGATCGTGTGAATTATCCCAGAAGTGACTCTATACCCGATTTAGACTGTGATAGTGAATCTTCGAGTGAGTTCTAGAAAATTCTATTTGGAAACTAAGGGAGATATCGAAATTGTGACTTCACTGACGTGTTTGCTGTATCAATCGACATCTAGAAAAGAAATTTCAAGGAAATTCCAGAACATTCTATTCGCGAATAAAGCAAGTTATCCAATTTGTGACTTAACCGGCGTGTTTGGAACTTCGAGCAAGGATCAGGAAAGATAATTGAAGAAAATTTGAGTGAAATTCTAGAACATTCTGTATATGCGTATCACAAGACAACAAGCGAAAATGGACGAACAAAAAGTTGAAGAACTCCTGCGCAAAATGTTGGAACTTCAAGAGACCAAACGACAACAAGAAAAACAAGACGAAGAAGCTAGACGACAACAAGAAGAAGTTAGAAGACAACAAGAAAAACAAGACGAAGAAGCCAGGCGACAAAAAGAACGGCAAGAAGACCTTGAACAACTACAGAAAATATTTCAAAACATACACGGATTTGTCGCCAATCTAGAACAAAAGATTACGGAAATAAAAGCCGAAGTTAAAGACGATATTCGAGAAGTTAAAGACGACGTTCAGGAAGTAAAAGCTGTAGTCAAAGTGTTGAAAATTGTGGCGTCATTGTTCCGCGAGTCCGTTGTGTTCAACCCTGGATGGCTCAACTATTGTGTACAACCCTGGCGGCCTGACGTGACGTGACAGAAGACAGCTGTCCCAGGTTGTTGTTTACTTCTAGTCAGCTTGTTGCCGCGCAATTATGATATCGTGTTGTTGTTGTTAACAAAATAAAGTATTTCGATTTATTTGTATGTTCAGTGCCCAGAATTAAACCGAGTTATTAGTAAAACAGTGTTTTCATTCGCTGGTGATATATCAAGCAAACACATAGCAGTAGTAGCTATAACTGGTGACCCCGACGTGATGTATCTCCGCGTACCACTCGGCCTCTAACCTAAAAGACGTGTCTGACTACTAAAAAAATCAAGATGCAAAGCAATTTCGACTCCTCAGGAGATCCTGATCAGCAATTGGCTGCAAACAGCTCTTTTACCAACCAGCAACCAGACAGGAGTTCGTCAGTGAGTATTCCTATGCCTCAACTTTCTGGCCCTCACGGCAGTACAGCATTTGATCCCGCGGTGCATTTTAATCCAACAAATCACCCGATGAGCTATCAGCAAGCATATGCCCAACCAGTAGTAAATTCGTTGCCAGCCCCCATGATGCTCAACCAGCAGCAGAGTTATGCCATTGACGCAGTTTACAACTGCAATCTGCCACCCTTTTGGCGTTCTCATCCAGACCTATGGTTCCTGCAGATTGAATCAGTCTTTCAAGCCCACCGTATACAGTCCGATAGCACCAAGTACTATCAATTGGTAAAATCACTGGACCCGGACACAATCACGGAAGTTGCAGACATCTTGAAGGCTCCACCACCTCAAGATAAGTACCAAAATCTCAAGTCTAACCTAATAAGTAGACTAACAGCCTCCGAAGACTCTCAGATGCACAAACTGCTCACTGATCTAGAACTAGGTGACCGAAAACCCTCACAGTTGCTTCGTGAAATGCGAGCCCTTGCCGACAATCGTGCTACAGAAGACGTGCTCCGCATACGATGGCTGGCCCTTCTGCCTGTCAGCATTCAGCACTTGCTGAAAATTTTCAAGGCCAATTCACTTAACGAACTAGCTGCTGCAGCTGATGAGCTCATGACAAACATCCCTGGTGGCAGTGTCATGGCCGTCAACCAGAGCTCTCGCCAGCATGGACATGGTTCTTCAGTAGCCTCCGAGCTGAACGAACTCAGACAAGCCATCACAGAACTAACCATTGCTCAGAAGGACCTCACTTCTGCCATCAGACAGAGTCTCACCTCTACCAGTCGACAACCACGTGAGCGTTCTGTCACTTCTGGAGAATGCCGATATCATCGAAAATTCGGTGCCCGGGCCCAAAAATGTGTCTCAGCTGCCATTAGCATCTCCGCGCCAGGAAAACTAAATATGCTGTCGCCTGTTCAGGTGGTAAGCGACAGCAATGTCAACAGCACCTGCCTCCCATCTAAAGAAAGTCGCCTGCACGTCATAGACAAGGTCACTGGCATGAAGTTCCTTATCGACAGTGGTTCCGTTGTATCCTTGATTCCAAGAAGCTTCTTTCAACGAAAACTTCTGCCTGCTGACCTCATGCTATATGCAGCCAATGCAACAGTTATCAAAACGTATGGTCAACACTTTCTTAACCTCAATTTTGGACTCCGCAGATCCTTCAAGTGGGCATTTATCATTGCAGACGTCAAATCAGCAATCATAGGTGCCGACCTGCTTTCACATCCTGGCCTCCTTCCTGATTTAAAGCACAAGCGCCTTCTGGACTCTCTCACCTCACTGTCTTCTCCTGCTGAAATGCATGAAACCGAACTTCATACTGTTTCCACTGTCAATAATGCAGAATATGCACCTCCTACACTCAGTCAACCCTATAGCAAGTTGCTGGAAGAGTTTATTGACATCACCCGTCCAAGGTCAGCCCCATCAGTGGACGCCCCTACAGGAACTCATCACCACATAGTCACCACTGGACCGCCAGTCAATGACCGTCCACGTCGGCTAAACTCAGAGAAACTAAAGATTGCTAAAGAGGATTTCGACCTCCTGTTGCATCATGCTGTTATCCGTCCCTCCAGCAGTCCATGGGCCAGTCCTCTACACATGGTCCAGAAAAAGCAAGGTGGATGGCGTTCCACAGGTGATTTTAGGAGGCTCAATTCCCAGACTGTGCCAGATCGGTACCCCATACCACTACCAGAAGACATCTTTCAGCGGCTGCATGGGAAAACTGTCTTCACTGTCATGGACCTGGTTCGAGCTTACCACCAAATTCCTGTAGCACCAGAGGACATACCCAAAACAGCGATAACTACTCCTTTTGGGCTTTTTGAGTTTCTGGGTATGCCTCCAGGCCTGCGCAATGCCACTCAGACATTTCAACGTCATATGGACAACCTTCTCCGTGGTATTGACTTCGCAGCATGCTACATTGATGACTTGATAGTGTTCTCGGATTCCCATGAGGAACATCTGCAACATCTACGCAAAATCTTTAATGTACTGCGTGAGAACAAACTCACTATCAACCTCAGCAAGTGCCAAATCAACAAATCAGAAGTTATGTACCTCGGCTACTCCATCAACAAGCTCGGATACAAACCACCTGATTCCAAGATCCAAGCCATCGCTTCTTACCCCAAGCCAGAGACCATCTCTGACCTTCGTAAGTTTTTGGGAATGCTCAATTATTACCGTCGCTGTATTCCAAAGGCCGCTGAACTTCAAGCCCCTCTCAATGCATTTATGAAGGGTGCCAAGAAAAAAGACAAACGGCCCATCCCTTGGACACCCAGCTCAGAGAAGGCCTACCAAGACTGTGTAGAAAGCATTGTCAAAGCGACTTGTACCAGCTTCATCTCACCCTCTGCAAGTCTCGCACTCGTCACTGATGCCTCGGACTTCGCCATTGGAGCTGCACTTGAACAGCTGATCGACGACTGCTGGAAGCCCATAGGTTTTTTTTCCCGCAAGTTGAGTCCCACCGAAACGCGATACAGCACCTACGATCGCGAGCTGCTAGCGATTTTCGCTGCAATAAAGTTCTTTCGTCACCAGCTGGAAGGACGCCAGTTCATCATCAAAACTGATCATCGCCCACTGGTATACGCCTTTGCTCAGCGCGCTGAAAAAGCATCCCCCAGACAGCTCCATCAACTGGACTTTATTTCACAATTCAGCACAGAAATCGTCTATGTCAAGGGAGAACACAACGCCGTTGCTGACGCCCTGTCTCGTATTAACGCTATCTCCATGCCAACGTCACTGTCTCCTAAAGCCATCGAAGCCGCACAGCTTGAAGACCAAGATACGCCACAAGAATCATCGCTCAATCTGCAACAGCGTGTTATTGAAAACGCCAACGTCCTCTGTGATATCTCTTCAGAT